AATTCTTTTTATTTTTCAACATGACTATTAGAAAATTTTATTTTATTTTTTTGTTTTAATTATTAGAAAATTTTAAATGTGATCCACATATGTGGCTGACATTGTATTTCCCATGACTGCTGGTTTAGAGTGTGGAATTTGGAGGATATGTGACCTCTAGAAAAAGTTGGAAAGAGGGGAGGAGGCGCCTGGGTGGCTCAGTAGGTTAAGCATCCGACTCTTAGTTTCCAGTCCGGTCATGATCTCAGGGTCCTGGGATCGAGTTCCACGGGGCGGGCTCCGCGCTCAGCAGGGAATCTGTCCCTCCCCCTCCTACTCTGCTCCTCCTCTAGCTAGCGCCCTCTCTTTTTTTTCTCTCTTTCAAATAAATAAATAAAATCTTAAAAAAAAAAAAGAAAAGACAGGAGAGGTGGAGGAAGAGAAAGCAATCTCTTGTATTTGCAAATGTCTTTCAAAAGCAATAAAATCTTTTGTTAATTTGGCTGTTCCTCATAAGAAGGAATATTCACAGGGGTGCCTGGGGGTGGCTCAGTGGTTGAGCATCTGCCTTTGGCTCAGGGCGTGATCTCACATCCCGGGATCGAATCCTGCATCAGGTTCCCTGCTAAGAGCCTGCTTCTCCCTCTGCCTGTGTCTCTGTGTCTCTCATGAATATATAAATAAAATCTTTTAAAAAAAGGAATACTCACAAATAACGAATTAGGATTATTTTCCTAATAAGGTTTTAGTAGGGTTCTCCCGGAAGAAGACCCTGGCTCAGGGACCCTGTTGGAAGGAGACCCAAGAAGCATCTGTAAGGGAGGGGGAAGCCACACCAAGGAGGGGAGGGAGTGGAAAGAGGGTGTGGCCCCGAGCCCCTTGTGGCTGCGGGCACCTGGGCTCCTCTAGTGGGGCTCCCTGAAAGACTTTGGGTCACAACTCATAGTGACCCCACCTGGGAGGTGAGGGAAGCTGGGCACTTTCCACCTACTGCTGGTAGTCGCTGGCTGCAGGCTGCTCCTAGAGGCATTGGCCTCCCCTCGTCCTCCCCAGCACCCCAGCCTGCCCTGCCCGGGGCCAGATAAAACCCTGGTGCCCAAAAGACCAGGTGCCTGCAGCCAAAAGCCACCAGCAAGCCTGGGGCATGGGGTCAACACCCAACTGAATGTTTTCTCCTGTAATTCATGATTTCAGCCAACATTTGGATAGTTCCCGGTGTGTGTGTTCATTTCCTCTCCCGAGCTTAACAGTAGCTGCCTAGGGAGGTCTCTCAGCACCCACACACCCCGGGTGGGGGACTGGGCCCAGAAGTCAGCTGGGGTGGTAGCCCCGGTCTCCGCAGGGTCTCCTCACTCTGCGCGTGTGGTCACTCAGGCCCGATTCCTTGGGTCTCTACGGAGCTCGGCTCCCTAAGGAGGTGTGAATACATCAACGTTTTTGAGGTGAGAACAGGAAACTAAAACTTTTTTTTTTTTTTTTGTACTCGGTAGGATTCCTTAGATACCCATAGGGAAGTAGATACTTACATACACTTAGTCCCAAGACTCTCATGCCAAAAAATATTATCTCTCTTTTGCACAAAGCACAGTCAAAATTAGGAGGTTGTAGGACCTGCTGACCACCACACAGGATGTTAGCGATACCGTTAAATTCTCGAAAACTCCACAGAAGTCCCTGTAGTGGAGGCTTATGGATGTAGTGGAGGCATGGTTCAGCGAGGACTGGATTTTGTTACCTCCCCATTACCCGGGCTCTCTTCAGAAGTGTTGTCAGCCCCTTTGGTACTTCTTGGAAACAAGTCTCTCTCCCAGCTTCATTTCCCTTTATTTTGCTTGTAAGTGACTCGGTAATTCTTTGTGGACTTCAGTAACACTTGTACTATTTCAATTTGAATAACCCCAAAGGATCTAGATAGGTCAATGTGTTTAAACCACAGGCTTCAGTCTACATATTAGTTGATTAAAAACAGATTTTTTATACATGATGTATACTTAATAAAGGGAGGGGAAGCAAGCAGATGTTTGTAAAATTGAAATGTGTTAGATTATATTTACTTGGCCCTCTTTTGCTGACGAGCTTTAGAAAAATCATACCTATGATCACTGAAGTGTAAACAGTGAGATGATGTATTTCCCTAGAAACTTCCTGCTCCAAAGGGTCAGCCAAAAAGACAAGTAAAAAGATTCCCTAAGATTAACATACCAAAAGAAGTTGACAAATGCACCATAAAGTAGTCACATCTAGATCAAGGACACTGAATAACGGAACGCCTCAAAATTATTCTCTAGTCTCTGACCATAAAGTGATCAGTGGTTGTGATTCATTTCATCCGAACAGAAAAGCCTTTGGCTCTTGTCTTTGTCGTCTTTGTCGTCGTTAAGAGCTTTGAAAGCACGTTTCTCTTCGACGCAAACATGACATCGTTGCCTTGCACCTAAATCACTCTCTCTGGCTCCTTCTCTGACTTCCCGCTCGGGTAGCCCATCCTTTAGGTGGGAAATAGTCGTGTTTCTCCTTTCAAATATTTATATTTAAGATGCTCTGAGTGTTTCGAAGCCAAAATCAAAGCGTTCCTATTGGTCTTCCAGTCCCGATGAAATATGCACAGAACCTCCCTCTGAATTCTGAGCACATGAGAACTACAGATAAAATATTTTCGAATGGATTTTGAAGACTAATAACAAGTTGAAACCTAAGTGGAAAGAATCCAAAGGCCGGAAATGAAAAGAGATGCAGAAGGGTGGGAGAAGGAGAGGAGATGGGCCGAGGGGGAGCACGGTGGAGAGCATCCCACCGGGGCCGGAGCCCCCCGCTGTCCCGTCTGTACGCCCGAGGCCAGCACTCCCCATGGACACACTGGACTCAGAGGGCACCTCCCGGGTGCCTGGGGCTCAGTCAGTTACCTGTCTGCCTTCGGCTCAGGTCATGATCCGGGGGTCCTGGGATCGAGCCCCACATAGGGCTCTCTGCTCAGTGGGGAGTCTGCTTCTCCCTCTCCCTCTGCCTCCCCCACTCCCCCTGCTTGTGATCTCTGGCTCTCTCTCTCTCTGTCAAATAAATAAAATCGTTAAAAAAAACACATACACAAAGGGTACCTCCCACCTCTGGAATTGGAGCCAGATAGAATTCTCAGGGAAGGAAGCAGAGACACACGGGTGTCTCGTGGGAGTGCCCTCTCTGGGGGTGGGGGGTGGGGGACGACCTCAGGCCCCAACATCACAGTGGGCAGCTTGCCTGGCAGTGCGGTGCCAATCCCCAGATCACAGCACAGGGAGCAAAGTTCACATCAGATGAGCTGCCAGACAGAAATTATAAGATACAAGATAAAATCAGACTCTTGGGAAACGTTGCACAAACATAGGAAAATACAGAAGTGCCCTTTTTTTCAAGCAAGCTTAAGAATAAATAAGCGTGTTTAGTTCTCTTGAAATTATGAAGGAGGGAGTTGCATCCTGGGAACAGGAAGAGAAAGTAACTCAAGAAGAGGGCGATGTGATCAAGAATCCTCTGGAAATGAAAAATGCGGTCATTGAAATGAAAAAAATCAGGCAATAGGGTAAAGACCAGATGGATAAGCTTAACTTGTTTAAGAACAACCAGAGAGATTTCTCTTTCTGACTCGTGCTTTTGAATGAAGCATTAAGTAAAAGTGCTCTTTTCCTGAATATACCTTTCTAAATCTAAAATTTTGGAAAGTAGAAAGAGTAAACGCTTTCAGAAATTAGTTTCACAGCATAGTGAACTGTTACCACCTTTATGAAATTATTGATGTTCAAAATGCCCCCATACTCCTTTCAAATCCTTTTTCTCCGATGGCATTACACATCCTCGATCTACTTTCTTTTCCATGAAATTTCCGTCCATCCACTGTATTCGTGGAATTGTCTGACTGTTAAAACACACGGTCACCCTAATCCTTGGCCCTGATCTTGGTCCACGACGTTGTTCTACCCCCCTGCCTGTAGAATGCACTTCCACGTGGCCACCTCTACCTCGATTCTACCTTCCCGAGACATTCCCATTCTTGCTCACCAAAAACTCCATGCCCATCCTCCCAGCCTCGGCAGCAAGAATGTGTCCTCTAGAAAACCTCAAGGCAGCCCTGACGCTGCCCCTTTCTCATTCACAGTATCTCTCCCCCAGTTGCAGAGCCATCTCCCTGTGGGCAGGGAGTGGGAATTTTTACGTGTGTTTCCCCAGAATCTCTCAGAGTCTGGCACTTAGGAGAAGCCTAATAAATTTGTGTGAATGGATAAATGAATGAATGGCATAAATGAAGAGCATCCAGAATGAGAAGCGGGTTATTGTGGTTGAAAATTAGATTTAATGGTCATTGCAGCAAACTTCGATGTTCTAAAGGAATAGGGAATAATTCTAGATTTGTAAGCAGGATAGTGATAGGAGAAATGTGGCATTCCAGGAAATTTAATCTGACGTGGATAGGTTGATAGAACAAGAATAGAAGCAGGTACAATGAAATGTACTATGAGTGAGTAAATGTGTATGATGAGGACTTCTAATATCTTATAAATGCCTATAAATAGTCGTAATGTCAGCGAGAACCAGATAATTCAAACCTTTCTCCGAGGGACTGCCTCGGTGGTAAATCTTCAAAATCCAATAATAGTTGATTTGCTGTGGGAATATATTCCTTATATTATTGCCATTTCTGATTCAGGTAAAGAACTAGAAATCCAATTACCTCCTTTCTCCTCAGTTCACGACCTATAGCTAATTATTCAGGCGAATGTGCCTGAGTTGGTACGAGAAGCAGGAACCAAAAGGATGAAATTTGAACCTTTCTTAAAGGTTCTTTTACATGCAGCTGCGCAGAGTCGACTTTAAATCTATAAATGCTTAAAGCTGCATAGATTGCATTGAGGTTCCTGAAAAATAGATCAGTTTTTCGAGGGTAGGAGTACTTTTGTGTATTCTGAAGTATGAAAGGTATCTAAATTCTTCAGGACACGGCGTAGTATTTTCGGGATGCAGAATAATATTTTTATTCTCTTTCTGAACAGCAAAACTTAGAGAGTAACCTCACCAGCCTTATCAAGAGGAACACGGAATTGGAGACCCTTTTGGCTAAACTCATCCAAACCTGTCAGCATGTGGAGGTGAGCGTCTCTGTCTCTGTGTGTGCTGTGTTTCATGTGAAAACTGCGCCCTTGACATTTTTAAGATGGGAATCTTTTTAAGATTAGATCTTTTGCCGAAGCCAAATATAAAAGATGGACGAACTTGGAAGGAACTAGAATCTCCAAGAATCTCTCCCTTTGCACTGCTTTGTCCCACCCCCACCCACCCACCCACTGCTGCCACGACAGCTCTCCCTGCAGCGGCTTTACTTAGCATTCCTAATATCGTAGATTTTAATCACCCTCACAAAAAGCATCCAAAAGAGCACTACATAAAAGGTGTTGTATCAGTTTCCTGGGGCTGTTGTGACAAATCACCACGAACTTGGATGGCATGAGACAATAGAGCTTTATTCTCTCATAGTTCTGGAGGCCAGAAGTTCGAAATCAAGCCTTGGTTCCTCTGAAGGCTCTAGGGGAGGGAAATTCCATGCCTCTTCCCACCTTCTAGCAGTTCCAGGCAGTTCTTGGAGTTCCCTGGCTTGAAGCTGCAGCCCTCTAACCTCTGGCTCTGTGGCCCCTTGGCTTTCTCCCTGTGTGTCTCTGGGTCTGCGTCCAAATCTCCTTCCTACAAGGACACCAGACATTGGATTGGGGCCATCCTACCCCAGTGGGAATTCACTTTAACTCAATTATATATGCAAAGACTCTATTTCCAAACAAGGTCATGTTCGCCGATAACGGGCATTAGGACTTGGACATAATCTTTCTGGGGGGGGGACACAACTCAACCCACTGCAGGTGTACATTAAATGCATCTTAGTTGTCAGATATGTTCTCATGAAAAAGACCACTTGTCGGGATTAAGTCAAGAGTATGCAGGCAGCAGTGACACCGAGGACAAATTGCAGAACCCAGATCTTTCTAACCTCCTGCTTAGAATGGATTCGCTTTGGGGGTGCCTGGGTGGCACAGTCTGTTGAGCATCTGACTCTTGATTGTGGCTCGGGTCATGGTCTCAGGGTTGTGAGATCAAGCCCCACATCGTGCTCCTCGCTCAGTGCAGTCTGCTTGTCCCTGTCCCTCTGCTACTCCCCGATTTGTGCACTCTTAAATAAATAAATAAATAAATAAATAAATAAATAAATAAATATCAATCTTAAAAACAAAAAAAGAATGGATTCGCTTTTGGCAAGGGTTTCTCCAGGGACCATTTTGAGCCTTGTTGATTAAACAACGTGGTAAATAACAGTGAACAAGCATAATGTTTTCATTATTGTAGGGCACAGTGAATACGTGTTATAGGAATAAATGGATGAACAAAATGGAATGATCCATGTGCTGTATTTTATTTTTATGATGTGATGGCATTTGATGTTTAGGACAATAAGAAAGAATAATTTCTCTTCAGTAAAAAAAAAATTACCTGTGTTTTATGGGGAAATCTTACAAAGGCTTTATGGATTGAGTGATTATTTCATTCAATTTCAGCTAGTTACTTCTTAAAGCATTTAGTGTCTGGTTTCTATTATGGCCTGTAGTGATTTCAGAACAACTGTCTTGTTCCTAATGCAATAGTAGTATGGCTTGAATTTACAAAATGCTATTCGTTTTAACATGTAAAATTACTTTCTAAAATGCTCAGCAATTTCAAATGATAGAAATTTCCTAGCAGATTTTATTTTTCTTCCAAAAGATTAGATATTTAGTTGTGATAGAGGCTTTTTAAATAAAGCTATTACTGAATTGATTGTAGCAGACTTGCAAGTACACACATACGTGCCCTTGGAAGTTATTCTAGACGTAAGGAGTAAAGGGTATTCATTCCTTTCACTGTGTTTCTCTACAAAGCCTTTGGAGTGGAAAGAAATGCTTGTGGGTGAATAAATTTGGTATTTGGGAAATTTGTCCTGGGTAAAAATGAAAGAAAATTAATTATGAGTAGAAAAATGAGACCGGGGATCCCTGGGTGGCGCAGCGGTTTGGCGTCTGCCTTTGGCCCAGGGCGCGATCCTGGAGACCTGGGATCGAGTCCCACGTCGGGCTCCCGGTGCATGGAGCCTGCTTCTCCCTCTGCCTGTGTCTCTGCCTCTTTCTCTCTCTGTGTGACTATCATAAATAAATAAATAAAGAAATAAAGAAAAATGAGACCGGCAATACCTTTTTTTTACACGTGTCCCTTATTCATAATTATTAATATTCTCATAGTATAATTTTTCACAGAATTGAGCATCCAGTTCTCATACAGTAACCAGACGAGGCTGTTGAACATTTCTTTAAGTCACTGATGAAGGAGCCAGCAAGGTGGTAAAGCTGGCCGAAAGGAGCACAGCAGAAGCCCTCCACCTGCAAACACCTGGGGCAGGTAGTGACAGTGTGGGTAGAAGGGCGCTAGAATAAGGCAGCTAAATGAGATGCAAAACTGGGCTCGGGACCCAAAGGGCAATGAAGTCATAACGTTTGGGCAAAATGAGTCGTATATCATCAGTTTTCTCTAAGTTATGTTTAGCTTTGCAGAGACCAAGGCTTGATCAGGAGTAAATAGAAAGCCGAACTCCGTGACCTGCCAGCCTGGAGTTGCAGGGCCCTTCCTTAGGCTGCCTTGGTGGACCACACCCCACCTAGTACAACCCCGAAAGGACTCACCGTCTTCTTTTTGCCTTATTTCCAGGTTTGGGATAATTTAGTTTAACATGACTTTCTGCCCTGCCTCCTCTGATCACTGCTGATGCCTGAGTTGTGTTCACTGCACAGATATTTCTGGGCGAGCGTGTAAATTTGAGCCTCTGGCCAGTCACTTGGGTTTGCTAAAGTGCCACACTGGTTTGTTCCTGCCATTCACGTGTAGGGGGCAGCCCCCGTGTGTGCGGTGCCCGGGGACCTGCCCACGGGGAGCTTATTAGCACCCTGCCTAAGACCAAGGAATGACGGCCATCCAAAATGAAAACTAATCGCTGTGAGAGAGGTGTGGACTCTGTACTTGGCATTTCCAGGAAGCAAGACGTTTCTCCCAGCTGGGGGCAGGGGGAGGCAGCACCCAGGCTGAGCCTGCCTTCCAGGGTAGGTGGCATTTGGGCGGACGGAGGGACAAGAACAGCACTGCTTGTAGGGCAAACCGAGGCATGGGGCTAGAACAATAGTGTGTGTACCCGGAGCAAGTAGTTCGTTCTATGGAAACAGAAGGCGTGTGAGGGGGATCGGTAGGAACCGGCTTTTGGGAGTTGAGAGCTGGGTGGGCTTTAGTAATGCCCGCACTGTGTCAACTCTATTTGGTCCCGAGGGTTTCGCGAGGGTTCGAGGAGCACAAAGATCTGGGTCATTTCCCCCCCTTACAACCGGCATCCCTCATTCTTTCCAGTCGGGGATATTTTTGGCTGATGGAAAACGAAGAGGGAGATCTTAGTGCAAAACCCGCGGGGGGCACATCCAGGGGAAACCCTCCCAGCCCGCTGGTAAGCTCCGAAAAGGGAGTGGAATCCGTTAGGCACTTTTAACTCAGCGCAGTGGACAAGCATTTCCTGGTTCACATCCGAGGTTCCGAGACTGTATTTCTTCCTTTTCCTCTTCCTGATGGTGTCCTTGTATTCGGGGCTGAGCATTCCGAGGGAAAATAATCCCCATGCCAGCTGGAGCACAAAACTCCAAGCACGGAGGCGACTCTCAATTGTTGTAAATCAAATCAATGAATTCCCACCAAATCCTGAGGAAATGCCACATCCTTATAAGTCCACACCTCCTTCCTGGGATTCACTTCTGCTTTTCTTGAGAACGAAAAGAGCTTGAAGGTCTCCCCCCATCCCCATTGTTTTTGTGACTTGTTTTTACAGTGAGGGTAAGCAAATGAAATGGCTTTGTGATAGTTAAGTAAGTACCCAGTCTTTTTAAAACCAGTGAACGGAGGGTGTGAAGGCCAAGGGAGCACAGGACTCGGGAGGGAGAGGCATGGAAAGGGCAATATTGGGGAGACTCTCAAGAATCATGCGTGTACTCTGCTGGCTGGGATTCTAGAAACGAGTGGGGTTTTTGGCCACTGGGTTTTCTTTTCTTCAGGAGAGAAAGACCGTGGAGAATCCCCAGGGGATGAGTTTAAGGTTAGTTCTATGTGGGGTCTGGGACAAGCCTATGAGAAGTGATCAAAATCTGGGTCAGCCACAGAACTACTGGTTCCAGATCGAATATGGATTGTTTCTCTTCATCACCTCATCCTCCTCCCTGTTTTATTTTAAAAATCAGAAGACCTAGTTTATTAGCTAAGCAAATACTGATATGTATCAAATTCTGCACACATTCTGAGAATCAAGTTCTTTCACAGGGTCTGCAATACCTGGACACAAATGAGATGTTCATTTGGGGAATGACAGGGGACCAGTGAGTAAATACACAGAGAGGTGGGAAAGAGCAGCTGGGGAAGGGTGGCTAATTAATTGCCAGAGCAGTGTGGAGAAAGTAAAGGCTCATCTGACCTCACCGTCCTTGCCCAAGCTCATCCTAGAAGGGTATTCTCCAAGCCGGCATCCCGCCCAAGTCCTGGCATGAGCCCCTTTGGCTTATCTTGCCTTGTTTGTAATTACTTTTCATTTTATTTTAAAGATTTTGTTTATTTATTTGAGAGAGAGAGAGCACAAGCAGGGGGAGAGGCAGAGGGAGAAGCAGACTCCCTGCCAAGCAGGGAGCCCGACTTGGGGCTCTATCCCAGGACCCTGGGATCGCGACCTGAGCCAAAGGCAGACGCTTAACTGACTGAGCCACCCAGGCACCCTGTAATTCCTTTTTTTTTTTAAATTCCTTTTGCCTTTGTTTGCAAATTATCTTTTTCTTTCATTTTAATGAAAACCTTGCTCTCTTGCTGGCTTTCTCTGAGTTCTTCCACTGCTGATGACATGTGAAGTGACAACGTGTGGGTGAACTAAGTGCCTTTTAATTCCATTTTTGCTCAGATATTGGGCTCCATAAATTGAGAGGGGGGGTGATGTATTATAGTAGCTCCTCAGAAATGGTAAAAAAAAAAATCTTGATTTCGTAAAATAGATAGGGGTCCG